ATCCCCCGTACAGTTTTTAAAACTTTTTAGATTTTTCTACACCCCTGGGGACTGCCCCAAGTGTCCCCGATGTGCGGATTTATACAGGGCTCTTTTTGTAGAAAAAGCCCAGCAGGAAATCATTAGCATAATAGGCCACACCCAAGAGCAGGAACTTATTAGCATATTGGGCCACACCCCCGACAGCACAGCTCATTAGCACATTAGGCCGCACCCCCATGTTACCAGAAGTGTGGTCATCCAGCCACACCCACCTTTCCCTTCTTATTCTGTTGACCTTGTTTGTTGTCAAACAGGGGTCATTTCGTAGAAAAAGAGCTAGGGGAACTCATTAGCATAACTCATTAGCATATGCCACACCCGCTGACATCAGGGGCCCGGCGGTGGACCTGCAAGCCCAGCGGGAGTGCGAGGAAGCCCCGCCAAGGCCCTCCCTGGCCCCAGGCAGGCAGGGGTGGGGAGAGGCAGGGAGGAAGCAACTTACCCTCCCTCTTCTCCTGCCTCCTCCTGGCTGAATGAGGGCCGGAAGCGGGGTGGCCGCAAGCAGGGGGCAGGGCTTCATCATGTGCCCCGCCCCCCGTACCTCACTCGGGGGAACTGCGATCCCCCGCGATCCCCCCCGAAATGACCTCTGAATGTAGCCAGTCCTAATGAGTTTCTGCTGTTGGGTGTGGCCTATTATGCTAATGAGTTCCTGCTGGGCGTGGCCAACTTAGGAGCCAGCCGGAACTCCGTTCCTGTGCGTTCCTGCCCAAAAATAGCTCTGGATTTAGATATCCGCATGGAGGGGGCAACTTGGCTATCTCTGCTTATATATAATTGAGTTATGCGAATGAGCTCCTGCACCTCTTTTTCTACGAAATGACCCCTGGTTCTGCTGCTTCAGACCAACACGGCCACCCCACCTGAATCTATCTTCATATGAGGTATCAGTTACTGATCGACTACAAACGGAGAGATCCGGGTTCCAGTTCCTATAAGTGCTCTGCAAATGTGGTGGGGGCTATTCACCCACACACGCCTGTGCTCCCTCTTTCAGCCAAACCTACCTCAGAGGGTTCTTGTAAGAATAAAAGAGGGAGCCGAGAACCCTGCATACCCTCACCCAGGGGTCATTTCGTAGAAAAAGAGGTGCAGGAGCTCACTAGCATAATTTATTAGCATAACTTGTTTGCATATGCCACACCCCCTGGCATCACCGGAAGTGTGTCAGAAGGCAACACCCACCGCTCAGGCTCTGCTGGACTGTTTTGGATTGCTAGCTATTGGGGGGGGGGGAACGTGCAGATCTGTCCTCACAGAGGAGGGAGAGCTTGTACCTGAACAAAACTTGGTCTTAAAGGTGCCACTGGACTGTTTTGGATTGCTAGCTATTGGGGGGGGGGAATGTGCAGATCTGTCCTCGCAGAGGAGGGAGAGCTAGTACCTGAATAAATCTTGGTCTTAAAGGTGCCACTGGACTGTTTTGGACCGGGGGGCTGGGGGGGGGCTCTGCAGCTTACCTGGCTGCTTCCTGCTCTGACTGAGGGCTGCTGGGAGCAGGGGGTGGGGACTTGTTGCATGTGCCCGCCGCCTGGGCTCTTGACTGCCGGAGCTCCGCTCCAGTGCGCTCCCGCAGGAAATGACCCCTGCCCTCACCCAAACGGCAGAATAAAAATGGCAGAATAAAAACGGCAGAATAAAAATGGACTGGACAGAATTTTGAAGTCATGCTGATGAGGGTTTTCCTTTCTGCTCCAGCTGACTAAGGACACATTATGAAACAACTGTGATCAATAACCCATCAAACTGATGAAATGGCGATGGGGAAAAAAGATAGCAATGGGAAAAAGCTTGGCAATAATAACCATTCCTGCAAGGGCCAGCTGCAAATGAATAGTAAATAGCATTGCGGAGCTGGCAACATGAAAACGTTTCTGCCGGCTGCCTCCATGTCCCCGGACCAGGCACCACTGGTGGGGTTGCCAGCCTCCAGGTGGGACCTGGAGATCTCCTGGAATTATAATGGATCTCCAGGCAATGGAGATCAGCTCCCCTAGGGAAAATGGATGCTTTGGAAGGTGGACCGAAGGCATTATACTCTGCTGAGGTCCCTGCCCACCCCAAACCTCACCCTCTCCAGGCTCCACCCCCAAAATCTCCAGGCATGTCCCAACCCAGAGCTGGCAACACCATGTAAAACAGCTGTCCGCCTCCAGAAGGGTGGCAAGCAGTGTTCCCTCTAAGCTGAGCGAGTGTGAGCTAGCTCACAGTTTTTTAGCCTCCGGCTCACGCATTTCTGTCTCGGCTCAGGAAGGAGGGCTCCAGAGCAAACTGATCTATGCCGCAGCCAAATCACTCACTCACCACTTGAATGCCAGTGACTCACGAAGTGGAATCTTTGCTCACAAGACTCCACATCTTAGAGGGAAGAAGAGGTTGGATTTATACCCTGCCCTTCACTACCCAAGGGAGTCTCAGAGCGGCTTACAGACTCCTTTCCCTTCCCCTCCCCACAACAGGCACCCTGGGAGGTAGGTGGGGCTGAGAGAGCTCTTGACAGAAACGGCTCTTTTCCAAGAACAGCAGTGCCAGAACTACGGCTTGCCCAAGGTCATCCAGCAGCTCCAAGTGGAGGAGTGGGGAAATCAAACCCGGTTCTCCCAGATTAGAGTCCGCGCACTTAACCACTACACCAAACTGGCATTGGCAAGAGCAGGTTTTGTGGCCTCAAGGGTTTTACTCTGTTCTCCCCTCTGACTGGCAGCGGGTCGCCAGTATAGAAGAGCCTTTCCCTCATGACCTGAGATCATAAGGTTGCCAACTCCAGGCTGGGAAATTCCTGGAAATTTGGGGGTGGAGCCTTGAGAAGGACAGGACTTCGGTGGGCTACAATGCCATAGAGGCCAAAGCATTCATTCTCTCCAAGGGAACTGATCTCTGTCGTCTGAAGATCAGTTGTACTTCTGGGAGATCTCCAGGTCCGCACCTAGATCACCAGGGTGAGCCAGAGACCTCTTTAGGATTGGTGGAAATTTCAGCAGGGACATTTTAACTCATGGGAGGGGGGATGAGTAGGATGAGAGATGAGCAGCAAAGAGGCAGTGCAGACATGGAGAAGAATAATCAGGGGCGGAGGGGGTAACTCCCTGTTTGGGGCAGTGGTTAAGTGTGCGGACTCTAATCTGGGAGAACCGGGTTGGATTCCCCACTCCTCCACATTCAGCTGCTGGTGTGACCTTGGGTCAGTCACAAGTTCTCTCAGAGCTGTTCTCTCAGAAGCAGTTCTCGAGAGAGCTCTCTCAGCCCCGCCTACCTGACAGGGTGCCCGTTGTGGGGGAGGGGAGGGGAGGGGAAAGGAGATTGTCAGCCGCTCTGAGACTCCTTCGGGTAATGAAGGGCGGGGTACAAATCCAACTCTTCTTCTTCTTAAGACTCTAATCTGGGAGGACCGGGTTTGATTCCCCACTCCTCCACAGGCAGCTGCTGGTGTGACCTCGGGTGAGTCACAAGTTCTCTCAGAGCTGTTCTCTCAAGGGCAGTTTCTGTCAGAGCTCTCTCAGCCCCACCCACCTGGCAGGGTGCCCGCTGTGGGGGAGGGGAGGGGAAAGGAGATTGTCAGCCGCTCTGAGACTCCTTTGGGTAATGAAGGGCGGGGTACAAATCCAACTCTTCTTCTTCTCCTCCTTTTCCTCCTCTTCCAGCTAGGATTACCAACCTCCAGGAGGGACCCGGAGTTCCCCAAGAATTACAACTGATCTCCAGAGCTCCAGATCCCTTGGAGAAAATGGCAGCTGTTAAGGGTGGACTCCATTAGTGTTGCCAGCTCTGGGCTGGGATGTACCCAGAGATTTGGGGGGTGAAGATTAGGGAGAGCAGGGTTTGGGGAGGGGAGGGACCTCAACAGGGTACAGTGCCCCCCCCTAGAATCTGCCTTCCAAAGCAGATCTCGGTCAGCTGGAGATCATTAGTAATAGCGGGGTCTAAAGTCCCCTACTCAGATCGCTTATGGAACTGTGAGAAACACTGTGAGCTGTGGAAAAACTGGGCCATCTCCTATTATTCTGTCATCAGTGGTCGACTCCTCGATCGATTTGGATCACTCCAGTTCTTACCAAACCACCTATTACCTACTGAACTCTGGGTGGTCCCCTATCTGTTGGCAGATACTAATCCTGAAACCACTTATTCTGTCACTAAATTTTTAATGATAGTTTTATCTGCAAAGCGACAAAAATCTGGCTTGACCCAACTGTGACAGAACTGGGTATGCACCCCAGTTGTTATGATTTAAATGGATATTTAAATGAATTATAGCTTTATTAATGATTTCTGTTTTAACATTTTAGATCTTTTAGATTTGATTACTTCAACTGTAAACTTTCATTGTGAAGTTCGTATTATGAGGCTAATGTTGTATATTCATCTTTTATACTTGAGCGTTAAGACCTTTGGTCATAGAAGCTAATAATTACAGGGCAATTTTTGGGCAGGAAGGCACAGGAACGGAGTTTCGGCTGGCTCCCAAGTTGGCCACGCCCAGCAGGAGCTCATTAGCATAATAGGCCACACCCAACAGCAGAAGCTCATTAGGACTGGCTACATTAGGGGTGTGTGGCCTAACACGCAAAGGAGTTCCTGCTACCAAAAAAAGCCCTGGGTTTTGACCACAAACAAGGTAAACAGAATAAGAAGCAAAAGGTGGGTGTGGCTGGATGAGCACACTTCTGGTAACATGGGGGTGTGGCCTAATATGCCAATGAGCTGTGCTTTCAGAGGTGTGGCCTAATATGCTAATGAGTTCCTGCTGTTGGGTGTGGCCCATTATGCTAATGAGTTCCGTCTGGGCTTTTTCTACAAAGAAAGCCCTGCTAATAAATATAAGTAAGTAATAGCGGGGGATCTCCAGGTGGCCCCTGGAGGTTGGCAGCCATACATCCCATCTCCGCTGCGCTCCGTCCCCTTCCCCAACCCCCCTCCCCAGGCTCCACCCCCAAATCTCCAGGAATTTCCCAGTTTAGATCTGGCAACCCTGGGGCCGCCCTCCCTCCCGCCTCTCACCCGCGTCTCCCCTCTCCCCCTTCCCTTTCAGGCAAAGTCTACTTCCTCAAGACCTACCGGAAGCTGAGCTTCCCGGAGGCCGCCCAGGCCTGCAAGAAGAACGGTGCCGCGATGGCCAAGGTGGGCCAGCTCTACGCCGCGTGGAAGATCCAGCTCCTGGACAAGTGCGAGGCGGGCTGGGTGAGCGACGGGAGCATCCGGTACCCCATCGTCAACCCGCGCTCTCGGTGCGGAGGCCGGGAGGCGGGGGTCCGCAACCTGGGCTTCCCAGACAAGAAGTACAAACTCTTCGGCGTCTACTGCTACAAGGCCGCCGACAGCATGGACCCCAAGAAGAAGGGGAAAGACGGCCTGGGGAAGTGGAAACCCTTCCAGGTGTAGGGGAGACAGAGAGGGGTCACAATACGACCATCGGCCCCGCGAGGAAATCTGCCCTCTTTCCTTCCTCTTCTGGAGCGCCGTCCGGGGGGGGGGATTTCTGCGGCAACCCCGTTGAGTGAATGGACCGTGCCCGGAGGGACCGGTTTGCAAAGCTCAGAACAGGACCGTGTCTGATTCGATTTATGTGCCGGAACCGCCCAGGCCGCTCGGAAGTCCAGCTTGGGTCCGGCTGCTTGTATCTGGCTGCAGCTGCTAATCCTTCTGCCCGCCTGCCTCTTCCCCCCATGGGAAAAATGGAGGGTCTGTCTTGGCTTCTCGCAACTCGCTCTTGTTCATGCTTCTGGTAAAGCTTTGCGCGGGGGGGGGGGGTTTGTGCTGGTGTGCC